TTGATTTGCATTTCTCTAATTGCTAGAGATGATGAACATTTTTTCATATATTTGTTGATCGATTGTATACGTTCTTCTGAGAAGTGTCTGTTCAATTCCTTGGCCCATTTATTGATTGGGTTATTTGGGTTTTTTTGGTGCTTAGCTTTTTGAGTTCTTTATATACCCTAGAGATTAGTGCTCTATCTGATGTGTGAGGGGTAAAGATTTGCTCCCAAGATGTAGGCTCTCTGTTCACCTCCCAGATTGTTTCTTTTGCTGAGAAGAAACTTTTTAGTTTGAGTCCRTCCCATTTATTGATTCTTGATTTTAATTCTTGTGCCACAGAAGTCTTATTAAGGAAGCTGGGGCCTAATTCCACATGATGGAGAATAGGTCCTACTTAAAAATATGGAACACTTCACAGATTTGCGTGTCATCCTTGCACAGGGGCCATGCTAATCTTCTCTGTATTGTTCCAGTTTCAGTATGTGTGCTGCCAAAGAGAGCACAACAAAGGACAATTTAATGAAGAAATTGAAAGTGAAAAGCAGAAAAATGTTCAAGGTTGTTGATATAATAACATAATAACAARTTAGATATTTGGTTTATTTTATTACTGAGTTTTTAAAAGAATAATAATACTTATTGATTTAAAAATGTTGTGAATTTACTATGTGTACTTACTTTGTTGGTACCAGAATACATTAATAAAGTTATAGAGATTGCAAAAGCCATAAAGGTATTTATAAACAATATAATTTCAAGACATTTATCCTAAAGATATAAKCAAATAAGAAATAGAAATGTTCATTGAGCATTATTTATAAGAATAAAAACTTAGAAAAAATAAAAATGTATAATGATAAATGGATGATTAAGTTACTCAACAAGCAGTCAACAAGATTATAAGTAGGCATTAAAAATTAATGTTCCAGCCTTGTGCAGTGGTGCACCCCTGTAATCCCAGTAGCTTGGGAGAGTGAGGCAGGAGGATCACAAGTTCAAAGCCAGCCTCAACAATTTGTCAAGGAGCTAAGTAACTCAGCAAGACCCTGTCTCTAAATAAAATATGAAAAAGGGCTAGGGAGRTGGCTTAGTGGTTAAGCATCCCTTAGTTCAATCCTGGTACCAAAAATAAACAAATAAATAATTAAAAAAGAAATTKTCTATTTTGTAATGTAGAGAAGGACCCTAGGATATATGTCAAGTAAAAATGCCAATGATAAAAACACTAGGTTACTAACTTTAAGTGAATTATAATTTGTTACATTACAGTTGCATGATTTTGAAACTAAGTGGACATAAAGTACTGTATTTATATAGGTTCCCACTGAACTTAAGATTAAGCGTCCACAAGAAACATTAATGGGTCCTTCACCATACGCTCCTTCATCAGATGTCTCTTCTACCTAGCCATAGCAAACTATTAATGGTTCCCCTGAAATGGGAGATCTGGGTGTGTCCCACACCTGAGCCTTCACAAAACACTCCTTCTGCCTAGAACCCTCTAAACATCCCCTTACCCTCAGGTCTCCATTCCATACAGCTAACTCCTTCTTATTCCTTTAATCTTAATTTTTTCTTCAGGGAGCCATCAACGATAATTCCAAACCTCACTGAATCACTCTCCTGTACACTCCAGTAGCCCAACATGTGCTGTCCCATAGGCCAATGTCAAGTTGGTTTTGGTTTTGTTTGTATATTTGCTGGTCTGCTGTTGTACTATCTAAAAAAAAAGCATAGGATCTTAATATTGTGCTGTCTTAGGTGTCCTTATTACTTAATGTCCCTGGCACTCCAAATACATATTGAAAGTATTTGGAGATATTGGGATAAAAGATGATTTTGTCTCCTTACCTTTCAAACTTTCTGCACATTGTTATATGATCTTTATAATAAAATATATCTAAGCCTTTTTTTAAGGTTACCCTTCACACCAATGTCAGATCACAATGTCAGATCACAGCATGAATGAGTTGAATATGGTCTAACTTAACAGTTCGACTAGTTGAAATTGTGACCCACATTTCAGTAGTTGAGTTCACACCTTCTTTTTTGAACTAGTTTCAAGTGGATTCCTGGAAGAAGAACTGCAAGAAGAAAGTGATATTAAGGAGGAGGTAAACTTGGAACAGTTCTTTTTTAAATTTTGTTTGAGTAAAAGAAACTCTGCAATTTATAGGAACTACCAGTGTATTTTTCTTATTCTACAGAAAATTATTACATAGAGTTTAGTATGAAAAGTTTCTATTATCGCAAGGTATACGATATAAATTGTTATTTTTTGTAAAKACTAAAGAAATAACAAAGGAAAACAAATGTAAAGAGATATCAGAACTTCCTTGACTTACATTAGCATCCAGGGACCACCACAGATGGCTGTGTTGTAGTGTATGAGGCCCTTCCCCTCCACCTCATGTTAAAATTGGACTGGGGTGAAGGCTCTCAGCCTGAAGGTACAATGCTCTTGTACTCACAGTGCCTGATAAAAGCAAGAGCTCAAAAACAAATGCCCTATAATCTACTTATCCCACGGTAACCTAAGTTACTCAGAAAGTCCCACAAATATTGATCGATGTCATGGTTCTCTATGAATTTGGGTACATCACTTGGGGATCTTAAGATCTTCAAAATCAAAAGCCAACTTTGCAATAGGATTCTAAGTTATGAAACAGTATTGGGACCTTGAATCGAAACTGAGTGGAGAGATGCAGTGAAAATACCTCATCACATCTCTACCAGCCTACCTCTGCCTGGAAGAACAAAGGGAAATGACAATTAAAATAAAAAGATGAGGAAGACATTTAAGATAAACTATTTCCAGTGCCTGCTGGTTAGGGCATCTCTCTATTTATGGGACTACCAAGCTTGCAGGATTCAGTTTAGTGTATTTGGGGTGTGTGGGGAGGGGAGGCGGAAAGAGCAAGGGAAGCTGATGTTCTTCCTGTGCCTATTCTCAAAAAGTACTGCTTGTCCATCAATTAAAATACAAAATGATGGCATGACGGTTGAAAGGACTCTAACATCAGCCAATGGAAAATCATCASACTGTGTTATCTAGTAGATACTTTTGCTCCCTGATGTTAGATCCTGGCTGGGTTTCTGTGCCAGTTCCCTTTCCACTACCCCAAACTCTTTCCCCACCAAGACCACCTTAGGATTGTGGCTTTGCTTTCACTAACTGAAAAGCTCTCTTGAAGGCCTGTCACAGCATCCTTGCAAAGTGTCCTGATTCTCAGGACGATGCACACAATGCAGAAGTCCCAGCTCTCACTCCTAATAATGTTCATTGAGCATTAGTTATAAGAATAATGATAAATGGATGATTAAGTAAATCACCAAGCAATCAACAAGATTATAAGTAGGCATTTAAAATTAGTTTTCCAGCCTTGTGCAGTGGTGCACGCCTGTAATCCCAGCAGCTTGGGAGGGTGAGGCAGGAGGATCACAAGTTCAAAGCCAGCCTCAATTGGCTTTGAACTAGATTGTACACTAGATTATAGACTAGATTGTATAAATCAGACCCTTATTAACACCCCAGAATTTGACTCCTGTTTCCTATCCCAATTTCTAGGCTGAAGAGTCTGAAACATTACTCGAGGAGAATATTAAAGTCTAAAGCATCTCCTAGAAAAAACCTAAATGAAAACCTGGTAAGCTGCCTCAGTTTCCTCGACATGACCAGGAACATATCCAATGGAGACTGAAACCAGAAGTGCATTTGCCCTTAGTAAGATAGTGTGGATTAGAGCACTTCCCACTCGCTAGTTGATTCTCCCAGTGTCTCTAAATTCCAATTTGAAAAGTTATCTTTAAAATAAGATTCCTCTGTCTAGATTTCTTAAAACATAGATTCCTGGTTTCCCCTCTCTATTCTGCTACTTAACCCCACCATGCAACACTGGCTGCTCCCAGTTCACTAGGCTGTTTTTCAAGTGACCATGTAATGYTGAAAGATATCAAAAGATAATAAGTTATGACTTTGCTTCTAAGGATTTATGTTTTAGTTACATAGACAAACCATACTGGAGGACAATTAAATAGCAATAGAGGATACACTGTGGATAGTGCCAGCTGATGTTGAAGGAATTTGAAATAGAAAGAGCTGGCAATGAAGAATTAACAGACTCTTTGGAGAAAAAAGAGGATGTTCAGAATGGAGGACATGAGAAAACAAGACCATTGGGGAACCATGAGTCTAGCGATCTGACAGCTGGCTGTGCCAGATGTGTCTGTTGTAAATATCTGTGTGTATGTCTGTTTTACATGACTTACGTCACAGGGCATAGCACTGGGTTAAAAAATAAAAACCATCAGATAAATAGGTTTATCTTCATCTAAGTAAATGTAACCTTGCATGCCACATCCTTTGACAAAGGAGGCATTTAAAAATAGATTTAAATTTTTTAAAATAGATTTAAACATGAACAATACACTAGGGAAAACTATTGGCAAGAATTATGTGCTCACAATACAAGCAATATCTTTATCTAGCATATAGCATAACAAGGAAAACTATAACTCCAGTAGGCAAGCTCATGAACAGCCTGTTCAGGTACAAGACAATATCCAATGTGGTAAAACAGTAAATTACAAAATACAAACGTAAACAACAATGAAATAGAAACATTTGTCTTTTAAAATATGTCCAGTTTTTAATGTCAAAATCTATTTCCTTTGAAATAGATGGAAATTAAATGATACTGGTTTTCTTGTATTTTGCTGATAGATGAGTGAAAGCAATTTATTATAACAACAACCATAAATATGCTCACATATTTTGACTCGGCGGTTCTTGGAAGTAGYCCAGGTATTAAAGTAAACAAAATGTCCAGGACACTATACTATTTCTAATGGCAATAATAATATAATGATTAAAATAGTCCAAGTGTCCAAGAAAATATCACACAACCACTGAAAAGACTGGCTGTGTAGTCCAATGCAGACTATGAAGAGGAAGGCAGAACATATAACATACAATAAACATCTTTTAACCCCAAGATGACCAGAAAAAAATAAATCTAAATGATTATGTTGTAATTAGTTGAAAGCAGAGGTGGTTTTGTTCACTTCTCTTMTTGTGTGTCGTTCTATTGGTGCTATAATGAAAAATGATTATTAAGCATTATTGAAGTGTAACTTGAGAGTTAGCTGTTCCTTTCTGTCACTCTTTACATTCATGGATGCTATATAACAGAGTGGGAAAAACCTGACCTGAAGCTCAGCGAGGGCTAAGGAACTAAGTTAGTGTTTGCCAGAGTGGAACATCTTCCTCCTAATAATCCATACACCACCTGCATCCAGTTCAGCAAGGGTGCTGCTCTGACTCTACCTCCAGTTTGTCTTGCTGCCACCAATTTATGATGAGATAATAGTCATATTCACTCCTGCAATTTCCTTCTTTACCCTTGACCATAAAGGCCAGGAGATATTCCACGGTGGGAGAGGGATGGGGTGGAAATGACTCTCTAGTACATCCTGTTTCAGGTTGTTGGTCAATGCTTCGAGATTCCAAAGCTCTCTGCTTTCTTTGTGTATTGTCTTCTCTCCTGGGTTAGAAGCAGTTGACAAGCCTGTTCTGAAGATGGAAGCAAGCATCGCTGTGACTGTGTTGGGAGGCCTGCTGTGGCTGCAGCACACTTCCATCATCCAGAGGGGCCAGCTTCTCATTGGATCCTGCTTGGATGCTCTTGGAGCTCTGCAGAAAAGGCATCTGAACGTGGTGACCAGCCAGCTCAAATCATACATATATATTCGCAAAATGTTCTTGATATAAAATATCTATTATTTTAAATATTCAGATATCTCAAAAATATTAGAATAAGTTTTAGTCTTAAGAGTCAGAAAAAAAAGCTTATGTCACCTAAGGTAGTTTGAGCATTGTCTTTAGAGTGATAATGATTCGATTCATTTTATTATGGATAATAAAATGCCACTAAAATGTGGTTTAAATGTTGCTCTTGATCCAAGTATTGATTTTTGTCATTCTTCATATTTCACTCATCTTGGGAGCTCAGAATTTCTCAGWCATAATAGCAAAGAATGGAACCTGAATCAGACTGAATCACATAACCCAACCCTAAATGAAACCTCTAGCATCCATTTTGTCCAGAACAATGAGCACAATATTAGATACACAAATTTAGAAAATAGTCATCACAGGAGAGTGCATGCTTTGTTAGGTATACTAGCCTATATAATACACTATATAGGTATGAACTCCTGTAATCTTCATAGCAACTAGGTTAAGTAGACACCTTTATTTCCAATTTATGAATGAGTAAACTTGGGTGAGTTTGAGCCATTTGCAAAAAATCCTACAACTTGTAGGAAGAAGATTATAGATTTGAAAATAAGGCATCATGCCATATATTCCCCCATACTAAACACTAAATAAATRCCTACAGAATTAATAAAAATTTAAATATGCCTTCAGGTTCAGACTTTCTGGGAGTTAAGAAATCTCAATGCTGTGCCAAACAATTGGCGATGGGCACATTCTTAGAAACAAAGAGCAGAGATTCCAGTCACAAAAATGTCCTTTGTGGTAAAGATAACCTGGTTCTTTACCAAATGAAAATTAAGACAAAGGATTGAGGGAAGTAGGAATCAAACACACACACACACACACACACACACACACACACACACATTACTGACCTAAGAGAATGTGATTGCTTTCTTTTCTTTTCTCTGGAATCCGAAAGACTCCAAACAGCATAATTTACAAAGTTTTTAGGTGGCCTAGGTTTCCAAATAAAATCTAAGCATACACTCCACAGTATTAGGGACTGTCAATGTCTGCTAGGTTTTTGGACTGGATTGTCAACCTCTCCCTACACAAGGCACTGAAACACCAAATAACCCTGGACCATGTGTGCTGGTGTGCACCCGCCTGTGTGCAGGAATGGGGGCTCTGTGCCCAGGACTTCACTTTTATCTGAAAGAATGTCATGCACAGATTTTGGCCTGAAGAGGGCGCTTRGAGCTTGCTTCCATTTGACTGTCAGAGGTAACCCACTTAATTTGTTTACAATGTCCATAACATTGCTTATTTTTTAATGATATTTTGATAAAAGGCTCTTCTTGGGCCTTTCACTTTGATTTTTAAAAATTTAGCTGAGTTCTTGAACTTTTACAGTGCCTGCCCTCCTGTTTTGTATTGTTTTTTTCCTGTAGTTATTTATCTTTCATATTCTATGTTACTTTTTTTTTTTTTTAATGAGAAACTTTGTAAAAGAAGAAACATTTTTCTCAAGGGTCACTCATTAACAAGGAAGTACTGTGCTACCCTCCTTCCAGTCACATCTATAAGAGAGTTTCAGTAAACTGAACAAATTCCCACTTGGCTTTCAGACAATGGCCTTTCCAATCAAAATAACCCTCTAGGTTACTCATTGTTCTTGACCAGCCATTGGAGCAAAATGCAAAAACCCAACCAGAATTACTGGGACAAACAGTTATCTCCTTTTTAAAAACATTCTTTAATGAGGACTATTAGCAATGAATAGCTGTGGTTTTCAGACATCAACCAGGACTCCTAATCAGCTCCTCTTCTTCAGCACAAAGTAAGTAAAAGTTAGATTAGGAAGAAGACCTCTCAGTATTATTACACACACACACACACACACACACACACACACACACACATTTTGTCCACACACAAAATGGTAGGCCATGGTTGCTATCCCAAATTTTCTACACATATATGATTTAGGTAACTTACAAGATATCCTTTAATATTTATTGCAATTATCCAGCCTGGGGAAGGAAATGGCTTTAGAAGTGAAGAATGGAAGAAACAGATTAAGGTAGTCCTAGATTTCTTAAACCTATATACAATGAACACCCTAATTTTAAATGTAAACTTTGTTATATATTTTCTTATTTAACTATCTAATTTACTAGAAAGAGGGATTTTGTGATTTTCAGATGTTCACAAAATAAGAAAATTTTCTACCATAACATTTTTCCTAGAGTTAATTATCTGAGGGATTAATAAAAAATTTAATAAAATGACTATTAGAGATAATTTAAACCAAATTCTCCTGTCTCTCCTTTAAACCTCTCCACAGAGGTAGAAGAGAAAGAAAACCCTTAATTTTTATAGATATTAAATTGGAATAAATGCAATGTTTACAGTAGGTCAATTTACAATAGCTGAACTATGGAACTGAACTAGGTACCCTTCAACATATGAATGGATAAAGAAAACATGGTATATATATATATACATAATGCAATATTACTCATCTTTAAAGAAGAATGAAATTATAGCATTTGCTCGTAAATGGATGGAACTGGAGACTATCATGCTAAGTGAAATAAGCTAATCATCAAAATCCAAAGGCTGAGTGTTCTCTCTGATGATAACCCACAAGGCAGAAGAGGATAGAAGTTCATTGAATTAGACAAAGGGGAATGAAGAGCAGGGAGCGGGCATGGAATAGGAAAGACAGTAGAATGAATCAGGTATAACTTTCCTATGTTCATGTATGAATACATGATCAGTGTAACTCCACAACATATACACCACAAGAATGGATCCTAATTAGAATAAGTTATACTACATGCATGTATAATATGTCAAAATACACTCTACTGTCATATAGATCTAAAAAAGAACAAGTAAAAAATAAAAGAATAATGCAAAATAAATCCATGATTTCTATCCCCAAATTTCTTTCTTTTCAAATCTCTTTTCTTCCTCTTGAGATATGTATAAAACTAATATATCCTTTATAATCTACAGTTCTGTGACAAGGAATGCAAAGAGACATACCACCACCACTACTATCAGGATAAAGAAAAGAGCAGAAATTCCCTCAGTAYCTTTGAAAATCACTTTCTCTCCTATCCCTTGCTTGTGGCAGACTTTGGTTTTGTCTTGTCCTGAATGTCACAAAATGTCAGTTTTTTTAAAAATAATGCATTTGAGATTCATCAAGTTGTTGCACCAACTGGTATTCCACTCCATAGTTTGTTCAGCCATTCACCAGTCGAAGATTATTTGGGCTATTTCCAATTGGGGGGGGGGCAGATATACAACTTTACATACAGGTTCTTAGAGGATGTAGGTTTCACTTGGGTAACATAAACTTTGTTAAGAATTTACTTTTTCTGCTATTTCGTCTAATTTACTGATGAGGGAGATTKTGTGAGTCTCAGATAAGCAGGATTGCTGGGTTGCATGGGAAGTCTAACTTTACACGTAACTGCCATTTGGTTTACAAAGAGGCTGTACCATTTCAGATTGCCAAGAGCAATGTGTAACACTCTCACTTGTACTCCATCCCTTGTCGGCACTCAGTATTGTCAGGTTCTGTTTTCATTTTTCAACATTAGCCCTTCTAAAGAGTGTGCAAAGTTATTGCTTTTGGTTTTGAGCTACATCATCCTAATGACTGTGATGGTGAGCATCGTTTCAGGCATTTATTTGCTATCTATACAGTGTCTTTGGTGAAGAGTCTGTTCATATAGTTTGCCATTTTTGTTACTGGACGTTTGTTTTCTCATGAGTGAGTTCTGAGAATCCTTTATATATTTTCTACTAGCCTGTGGTTTAACCCTTTGGTTTAACCTTTTCTTTTTTAAAACAAAATTCCCCCCCCCGACTTTTCTAAGACATCATGATTTAATAGGTATCTGAAATGGAAAAAACCTCACAACCCACTTGTAATTGCAGACCGGGGGTTCCCCAGGTTCTCAGAGCTTGCACTGACCAGCAGATTCTGGTTTTGGCTAATAGTCCAGTGCACAAAGGCTTTGACATTTCAGCACGTTCTGCGTGTGTGCCTCTAACGCTCCTCCCCCAGCCTCTTCCTCCCCTAGACAGATACCCTTCTCTTTTCTGCTCTGCACAGGTGGCCAGAGCCATGCAGCCCATTCTCTAAGTCAGGAGTTGCCCTGTCAGAGTGCAAGGGGTGAGAAGGAAGTGGTAAAGGGACGGTTGGCTGCGAAGGTGCTGAGAGGACTGARAGGATGGGGAACCATCTACAGAGGGAAAACAGGTGAGTCCAGACTCCCTACAAGGGAGCAGGGGAGAGGGTGAGGGCAACATGAGAAAAAGAGGGCAGTTCTTGGGGGTGAAGGGAATTGAATAAGGAATCTGACAAGAATTCAGTTCCTCCTATGTGTCAGACACCCCACCAAGTTCCTTAAATACAAYTTGGCCCAGAATCCTAGTGAGCAACTGCTGTGAAATGCGGAACAACTTCATCCAGAGAGGCCTCCGTGCTAGGCCCCCACCTAAGAAAGGAGCCGTTTTCTGAGGTCCTGGGGAGGGAATGCTCCCTTGAGTGCAATGCTCTACAAGGAGCTCCAAGACACCTACTCTTTCTGTCACTATTTTAAGTTCAAAGCAATTAGCAAGTTTCCTGCCACCATGAAGCCTCATGTACTGCAGACTTCCTGGATTTAAAACAGGTAAGCAGAGGTCATGTACATAGGTAGAGTGTTTGGTTTAACTTTTCTAGACCTCAGTTTCCTCATTTTAAATGGAAAAAAATTATATGATACCTACCATGGAAGCCTCTTGTGTGCATAATGCTAACTTAATGTCTGACACATAAAATGATTCAGTAATCAGAAGTAAAAAAATTTTAACCAGTCTTCATTCGCATCAAAGCAAATGATGTAAAATTAAGTACCACCCAAACTAAGGGGATCTTTAGGGTATAAAGTGATGTGGTCTAGGGAGAGGGAGCTTGCAGAATGGTATTGTTTATGGGATTTTTTGGTGTCCAAGATCTCAGATCATGCCACTGGAAAGTGGAGTACAGAAAAAGGGCGTATCCCAAAATACCACTTACCAAAAGAAGGCTTGGAAATCATATGGAACGTCTCATGTTCCTTCTTGAGGATCAGTATTGTCTGAGACTCCTCCTCCCTGGATATTCAGAGCCCTTGGTCAGTCTTCTGCTCTWACGGTCTTCTGAAAGAGTATACATCACTGTTTTTAAATGTGGATGTGAGATCTTTGAATGTGGGGATCATTTTTCATTGTTTATTCACTGTTTCTTAAATTCTTGGGTCCTAGCATTGTTCCTGGATCATAACAGGCACTCCATAAGCATTAGATGAATGGTTGAAAACAAAGAAAAAAYTGTCTTGAAAGTAGAAACAAAATAYAGATATGTTGTGAACAAGAAAGTAGAGATTGATGTCACAAGGGTAATTTTGCAGGACTTCAGTGTGAGGGTGGTGGATTATGATATTAACATGTAAACATTCTAAAAAATTCTTGAGACAAACTTCTAATCATGGTTATAACATTAGATGCATTATATTTATTTTAAGTTCTAGAAGTCATTTGATTTCTTTATGTGTAAAGAGCCAATAATGTCTTTTYCCCAWTTTTGTTTTGGATTTTGGTTTCTTTTGAGTTATTGATGGTAAAAGTTATTTGTACTTTAAAGAAATTAGTCCTTACATAAATTTTGCAAATATATATGTATGTATGTATGTATATATGTGTGTGTGTATATGTATATATATATATATATATATGTTTTTCAGTTTATGTGTCTTGGGCCATGCTAACTTTTATGGTTGTATGTTTGTTATATTTTAAAGATAATTGAATTAAATGTAGAAAATATTTAGGTTTCTTGCATTTTTTAATTCTTTCCCCCTTCTAAGATAAGACCAATCCACACATACATGCTTTGTGTGGTTTTGTTTTATGTTTAGCCCTATATATTCAATATATGCTTTCAGATATGATGTTTTTTCAAATGRTTGATCAGTTGGCCTAGGATCCTCATTTTCATGCTGATTTAAAATGTTTTTCTTGACATATTCAAAAGTCTTGTATTGACTGGGAACTAAGTTTTTTACTTTACCCCATCACCCAGTTCCCACCCTGTCAGCACTCCCCTTTCCATGTCTTTCCTGATCAAATTTGTTACAAAAACTGGGAAAACTCCCCCATAGGATAGAAGGGCACCTATGCTTTCAGGAGAAGAGCTCAGGGTTTCTGAAGGAAGAATCTGTCCCAGGGCAACCCAGACTCTCTCCATTACTGGTTGTGGATCCTTAAACAAATTGCCTATTTCAGCCTCTCTTTCTTCATCGATTGGTAAGTAATAGTATGATAATATGAACTTCATGGTGGTTATATTCTGGGATTAAGTGAAATATGGCGCATAAAATGACTGGCACAAAGTAAGCAGTGTTTGTTAGTTTCTTTTTCTTCATACTCTCAACTTCCAGCAAATGAAAACGGGATTTTGCAGATATACAACYCGAACAATGAACCTATTCATTGTCTTTATTTAATTCTTTTCCTCTCCTTTTAGCCTGGTTCTCTGTCTGCCTCCTTGCTTTCTGTGAAAGATGGTGATTTACAGGAACCCACTGCTCGTGTGCAGCCCCTGGAACCCCACCAKTTAAGGAGAGCTGAGGAGCCCAGGCCTCTCTCTGTACATTGACACTTTAGGGAATGTGATGAGGGTTCCTGGACATTTGGGAACAAATGATTTAGGACCAGAGGTGCATGTCTAGGGGCTTTTCTGTGGCAACGGAAAGAATATCAGGTCAGAGACAGCGGTGGCGTATCATTAGGAGGGAGTGTTAACAACTGCAAGAAGGGCAGGGAAAGCTGAAGCGATTCCAGGATTGCACAAACAGCACAAGTGAGCARAGTGGGGAAAACAGAAAGAGTGAAAATCCTGGAGAGGAATTGCTGAGCTCATTTCTGATACATTGAGTTTTAGGTGGCAGCGGGACACTCAAGAAATGCCTTGGAAACTCAGACTTCAAAACACCAAGCAGAGAACATCCAGGTGAGAGAACCCTGTACCTAACTCTGTACCAGACTCCTCCCAGCTTCTGCTCAAGAAAAAGGTAGCCTGACAGGTCCTAGCCCTCAAGTACCCATCTCACACACACACACACACACACACACACACACACACACACCCTGCGTCAGCATAAGTGTACTTAATGTGAAGACAGGATAATAGACAATGGGGAAACTTTGGATGGGACTTGTGCTGCTTTGCTAGGAGTCTGAAGTAACTGTGAGCAACAGTCAATAAGACAGTGTCAGACTCTCTCCTACCCTGTTATAAAATAAGGGGTCCTATATCCTATTGTGTCTTTGTTTGCCTGTCTCAAATCCTTTGTGCCCAAGTTCCATCTAGACCTTCCATTTGAAACTTTATCTGTTTCTGAAGTGATCCCATTCCCCACACCATGACAATTCTTGGAAGGTTTATGAAGAAGTCCTTGAGTTTACCCTGATGCTGTTAAACAGAGCCTCATCAATTCTTCCTAACCTTCTGAGTGCCCAAAGAATCACCACAATGTGGAATTTGCGTCCCAATGTCCAAGAATTCCAAAGTATGGTAAAATCTGTTGTCCTGTTTCCTATGGAATTATTTGCACTTTTCTCATGGTTTCAGAAGGATCTTTTGAAAGAGTGGAACTAAAAATCAACTGCTGGGCCAAGGCYGTGTGGGGGCTGCCGACCCAGTGATTGGCCAACAGACCACATTCTTTAGTGCAAGCTGAGAATCATATATTTTGGGGCAGGCATCATTGGGCATATAGTTCAAATATGCTAAAGCATATAATCMAAATGATGAAATAAATAAGAAGGGCCAGGACCATTAAAACAAGGGAGAGATTGGATAGACCTGGGAGCAAGGTAAGTCTCTGTAGAAAAACAGGAACCTACAATCGCTGACTTGTAGGGGAGGCTATAGAAATTTGATTTGAGACATGGAAATTATTGAATCTCATCCTAATCCAAAAACATTCACATTGAAATGCAAGAATACGTTTCAGAAAAGGCTTAATAGAGGAAAGAACTTACAAGTAGCTTTTTCCTATAGTCAA